TTTTTCTAACATACATTTGTATTCACTCGTCTTCTGATTTTGCTGAAAGGAAAACCTCCACCTCTGCCTTTGTTGCTTCTAACAGAATTTTTCTTCTAGGAATGCCCTTTGTGTGTCTCCATTTATATTTTAATCAACTCTGACCACAACATGACGCCTCCGCCACCCTGTTTCACTGTGGAAATACACTGAAGTTTTAAATTACAATGTACGTAAAAGCACAAGAGCTGTTAAAACTTTTACAGGGCGCTGGCTGTGATGTTTTCTGACATTTAATTACATGAAGGACTCTGAGAGACTTTATAGTTTAGCCGTAAAACATATGTCAGACAGTTAAATTGCACTTGTCTCAATAGCAATGCGTCACTTTTACTGGAACACAACACAGACATGGAAATAAAATTCACTTGTTCCTGGAAAAAAAAGGCAAAAATAAATAAATAAAGAATACAAATCAAACAGTAAATACACTTTCAGTATCTTTATTAGGAGCTACCTGTGTATGACTGTGTCTGCAGCTCAGGAGCAAAACAAATAAATCTAAATCTGTTCCCCATCACGCAGCAGATGAGCAGAGATTTTGCTGCTATTTTTAGATCTGATGAGAGGAAATTAATAATCTCCCCTCCCGTCTCGTGCCACACGAGACAGTATTTCATCGTATCGTATTTCATCAGGCTGATTTTAGCGTGCAGCGGATACCGATGACAGGAAGAGTGGAGGCAAAGTCAGCTGCTGAGAACATTGTAAACAATTTTCTCACTAAAAACATGAAAACAGCAGAACTGTTTCCAACTGTGGTTTTGAATGTAAACAAATCTCTTGTACATGACACACAGCTACAGTTTGACTTCTTGCCAGGGGAAATTATGCATAAATTACCTTAATAAAATCTGTAGATTTTTTTTTTTTTTTTAGACTTAAAAAGGAGCAAACCTCATTAAACTACTCCACATGCTGCAGATATAAAGTAAAAGTCAGTGCTGGATTGGCCACAAATTATGACGTTTCCTCTGCCGTTTCACTCCACCCCACCCTTGATGTGTAAAACAGGTGAGCTTGTAGCTACTGAAAAGTGTCGGAAAATTCTGAACATATTTTCCGTGACTCTCTGTCGACCCACTCATAGGGTTTTCCAGCATTACAAAGCTGATTATGCTGCCCACGGATGGGACAAGCAGCAGCCTCAACCGCATATTGCTCACCTGATGAACTGCGCAGAGTGAAAAACAGGCTCTTGCTTTCACTCTGCAGCTGATCTGCTCCTGCTGAATGCCCTCCTGTGTTCCACTGTGAATCCGTGAGGGAAGTTTGTTTCGAGTGTTTGAAGTCCATAATCTGAGCTTTCCGCCAATGTAAAGCAGATCAGTCACCACCGTCACAGCTGTGGGGAGCTTGGCCAAGAACATCAACTAAACTGCTTATTAATGAACTCTGGAACCAGAATGACGCATGCTTGGGAAGCTTGGTATTCCCAAGCAAATTACTGAAACTAAGCTCGGAGATTATTGTCTTGGAGCTGTTCTACAATGTTGAATTCTCATTAAATTTAAATGCAATTTCTAACAACATCTTAGTTCCAGTCATTAAATTAAGCACCAGTGGGGTTTGTGCTTATCACCAGGAGTCAGATGAGAGACAAGGTACATGCTAGACATTTTGCCGGGAAACAGGAAAACACAGAGAGGAAACAACTATGTTTCACTCACACCGAAGGGCAACTTAGAATCGCCAATGAACATGAATGTTTCTTAGAGAGTTGCAAGAAGAGAGAACTTGCAGCAAACCAGTGGAGAACAAGGAAACTCCAAACTGAACAGAGAACTGGTCCAATCAGTGCAAAGAAAGAGTAGTTGCAACTACACCATCAAAAACCAGTCGATGAAGAATTGGAATCAAACTATTTTACACGTTTGTCTGAATCCCCCCGCCTCACATTACTTACTATTGTTTCTGTAAATTTTCCCTGATGGCAACATACAGTATTCTGATAAATAGGTTAATTTTTAATCTTTGTTTGGATGACATCGTCCACTCATATACGTTAAAGCCTCCGATTATCCACAATGCAATATTTTACAGTATTGGGAAGAAGCTGCTGGAGATTGTCAAAAGTTCAGGGTTTGTCTTTGTCAACGTAGCATCATCCAAACGCATTGGACAGTTTGCATCGTAACAAAAAAGGTTCAACTTCATAAAAGTGCAGCTTAAAACCTGGACTATCAGGTGGGATGTAAAGCTTGCAGTATGGCTCACGAGAAGAGCTCGATCTTTGCAGGATGTGTTGGCAGTGCTTTGATTTGTCTTCATCTTCACAGGTCAAACATCTCAAGAGCAATAACTGGACATACAAGTCCGTATATAGACACTCTACAGAGATAATTACCTTCAGACAGATTAAAATTTTGCTTCCGTTAGAGTCCTCACAATAAACCACTGGAAGATTCCTACAAGAAAAAGATCAAGGTTTCTCTGTATTGACACAAAGATCTAAAACATGCATGCAAAAACGATCTGAATACTTTTCAAAAAAGGAGCAACAATTATCTTACAGCAGCTAAAAAAAGTAAGACTGTTAATTATTACAGTAATATTGTATTAATATTATTAATAATTAACAATAATAGTAGCTGCTAAGCTGTTGAACAGAAGAATGTTACCTTTTGCCGTTCTGGTCCATATAAAGTATAACAAGCTGATGTTGGCTGATGAATTAGTTGGGCTATCTGCTCCGATAGGACCTAGTGATTTGTAGCTTGATGGGTGGGATTCCTAAAGTTTCCACTCTATGACATTTTATGCTTTCAGTGCAAATTTGTTGGAGCCTTTTCTCAGTGTGCAGCTGCAGGTAAGAGGAGGATGGAGGCGGGGTTAGCTCTGCTTTACTCTATGCTCCATACAGTCAGGTAAAACTCCTATCATACCAGCACCTTGTTTGGCATCTCGATAAGAGGGGACAAAAAACACAAACCTGAACCATTCCTTTTTGCACCAGATGCCACAGCATAAAAGCAAGAACAGGTATTTCCGCAACTCTTCTTACCTTCCTCATTCCCTTTCATCTTGGTTTAATTTCCATTAGTTTCCTGACCTCACATCATCAGGAGTCTCCCCTGCCCCATCTCCATATCCTTTTGATATTTGATGTGGTCTGGACAACGAAAACAGGCTTTAAGCTCCAGGAACTGAATGATCCAAATGTTTTGTGGCTCTTAAACCAGAATATTTTCAAGCATCCAGGAAATGGTTTGCATATCTGCACGTCTGTGATTTGGAAGGCAAAACAAACAAGACATACAGTACATGCCTTTGCGAAGTAAGAGCGTAAACGTAACAGCTGTAAGTGTAACCACACTTGATAGTAGCAATTTCAGAAACATTTTGACGTTAACTGCTTTACGATGTGAGATAAGGATCACATTATCCCCTCCATACGTCAAAGCATGTGTCAAATATTAACATAATAAAAGTGGAGTTTAAAATCTGAGCTAGCCATTAAAATGCTTATCTATGCATGTGTGATTGTATTGAATTGACTTTTTTTGTAAAATGCCTTGAAACGATGTATTGAAATTTTTTTTATATGAATAAACTGATTTAATACAGTGTGTATAATAATTCAGTTTCATTTTTTACTGAAATAAATGAAGTTCTCAGCGATATTCTAATTCACTGGGTTGCACCTATACAGTATAATGTACTTCTTCCCTGAACTCCCAAAGACTCAAACTCCATGAAGTGGTTATTATTATGGTATACAGCATTATGCAACAGCATCTCAGCTTTCAAAGTTCATGGTATTTATTTTCCTTCTTTATCGCCTGAACATTAACCTTGAAGACTTTTCACTGAACACGTTTTTTTCAAACCGTCTTTTGCAAAGCAAAACTGAAGCACAGACTCAACCAAGTCATTAAAATGCATTATTTACGTCAGTCTGGAGGTTAATTTCTACCACAGGGGTTGATTTTAAGTGGTTCAGTGTAAAAATCTCATTAGTGGAATGCTACTTTGTTGAGAAAGTTGGAGAAATGCAATGAACATACAGACTAGTAAATGGGAAAGGAAAGTTTGCTTCAATAGCACTCAGCTGTTCTTTCTAAAATGAAAACATTTTATCTAGATTTTAAGTAAAAAGCCTGATTCACAGCACTGCTTCCCCTTTTTACTGAATGCCACCTGCTCACGTTTCACTTTCATTTCTCCTTTTTGATATTTCTGGACTGTTCAACTCTGAATCTAAATAAGCACGACACAGAAAATGGATTTTACCACAACGAATGCCTTTATTTACCAAGACACTTAACACAAGTATGCAAAAAACAATAAATCAGACGCTCAGGAGGACAGAACATTTAAAGTGGTAATAAGGAATGTGCTTGTTTCCATTTTTTTTTTTAAAGAATCATTTCAAATAAATAGTCTATAGTCTCTGAAGCTAGTGTTCTTATCAATATATCCTCTTCAAGTCAGATTTGCAGGAATGAGGAAGAAGATGAATGACAAAAAGAAACTGCAATAGAATCCCCTTTTCAAAACATATTTATATAGGTGGAAAGTGGAGGAACAAAAAATGTAAAAGGCAAATCCCTTCTTCTAAACCTAAATAATATTCCACCAAAAAAAAAAAGAAAAAAAAAATCTAAATCCAAGTGCGTGGTAGACAACAATCTCTCTTACAAGACGTCAATAGAAACACAAAAATGTCCTTATTAGATGTTTAATTTGTCCGTTGCTACAAGGCTGCTGACCGAGCCAGCTAAGGTCAGCTTGTTCAGGTAACTAGTTAACTCCTCCACCAAGTTGTGCTCTGCTGTTGGGGGCAGTTCATTAACAAAAAGGATGTGATATCACAGGTTAAGCACCACGGCAGCATCCTACCTAAGAATAGCTTCACACGTCTCTGCCTCTTTCTTTCTCTCTCAGAGAGAACTTAAAGATACCGATTTGTACCAGAGGAGAGGGAGGAGGGAGGTCTTACAACGTCAGAGGAGAGAACCTGTAGAAAAATCGTCCGTCTCATGCAACAATGCTCCTACCATGTATCACAAAGTAAAAGTCTCAGTCTCATAAAAGAGAAAAGTGCAAGGGAGGGCAGTAGCAGCCCTTTCCTTCAGCAGGTGAGCAAGAGCGCAGGATCAACCTTGCAGACTCTTCCTCTAACCGAGAGGCATCTGGGGTGTCCAACCAAGCGGACCCCTGTTCAGGCAATGAAGCACCTCAGGGGGTGAAGCAGCGGGGTTTGTAGCTCCAAAGAACTTTTCTCCCATGCTTGAAATTGAGACCAGGTCAGCTCCAATGTGCCTTCAGTCAGTGCTGTGCTCCTCCAGCTGAGAGATGATGGTGATCAGATTCTGGAGGCCGAAGATGAAGCCGCTGTCTTGGCCTTCGTGGACCACGCTGTCCTCTCCGTAGTGCCGACACGTGGTGTGAGCAAAGTCAATCATGCGCACGTCCACCTCGGGGCTGCTGGCCTCTCCCGCTCCGTGCGAGGAGCGGCTGCTGCTGCCGCCGCCGCCAGACAGGCCGCCGGCTGCGCTGGTGGAGGAAGAGCGAGGGAACCCAAACGCTCCTTCCTCTTCGCCCTCCTCCTCTTCTTCATCAGACGGCTCGTCCTCGTCGCCTTCCTCCCCTCCTCGATGCCTGGGTCTGGCGGGAGTCCTGGGAGGGTCGCCGTCGTAGATGATGAGCAGCGAGCTGGAGTAGAAGCGGTAGGACTCGCACGCCTCCAGGGCGGCCTGCATCTCCCGGAGCCGGCGCAGAACCGGGGACAGCAGCTCGTGACGAAGTCGCCGGCCGTTGTGGAAGAACTGGTAGAGAGCCTCCTTGAAACCAGCAAGGGTCAGCTTTCGCCCGTGGTACTTGTTCATGAACATTATCTGGCCGGAGTCTGACTGGTACACCTGCAGAGACATGCAGAAATCCACTCCGTTAGGGTTCTTATTCACTTTTCATTTCAACATGTCATACCATCAAAAAAAAAAAAAAAAAGGACTAAACTCCTTGGATTTTTTTCCTAACAGGTTCATGGCCTACAAATCTCAGGTTTCGCCTTTTCCTTCATCTGATAAACATTTGTCCGTGTGAGTCAGAGTAATTAGACCAATTCAAAAAATACATTTCAATACATAAATCTTATATTAAGATTTCCCTGAGAGCAGGGTAAACTGACAGAGCTAAAGAAAATGGCTGCTCAGAATGATGCATCTTAACACAGTAATGTGAAATTCAGTGGAAGGAAAATCCGTAGTTGAAATAGTGCACATTTGCAGGGAAAATTTTGAATAAAGCAACAAAATCCTGTTTAAAAAGATCAGCATCGCTCTGACCAAAACATAAAATCTATATCACATCATCACAAAGAGCTAAGTGCACATATTGTACATGCAACATAAGGACAAACTTTAACTAGGCTAACATTTCTGAACTAAAAATATTTTCTTTGTTGGTTCTATCCAACATCCTAAACTGAATTTTCTAGTTTCCATTAGCTGCAAGCCCTGATAAATCAATACGAACAGCAATATATGCCATCAAAATTGTAGCGGTTTCTGGGAGTGGACTACATTTCCCAGGATGCTTAGTGGCATGTTTTTGTATCCTAAGTTTTGATTATGCTCTAATTTACTGAGCTGAACTTGTATTCTTCCCTACACTCTCATTTTCTTTGTCCATTTTAATCCAGACGTGCAGAACAGTGAAATCAAATTCCAGACTTTTCCAACCTAATTAAGCCAATCTCTGTACCTGCATCCCACAGAGCCGCACTCCAATCGATGCTGATGTGCTCTGTTGACACTTCCGGATCTGATTGGCTTTCTTCTCCTCTGAAGCGTCGTCTCCATGTTGGCGAGTTCCCATCTTTAAATCCAACACACACGGGACTCTGTAGCGCCACGTCAGGTTTTCCAACAGAATAAATTCTGTGAGACGGGGAGTCAAGGATCACACCAATAAAGAAGACAGAAATAAGTCTAGGTTTTGCTACAATTGTTTTTTTTTTTTTTTTCTTTCTTGGGATTTGGTTTTCCCAAGAATGGAGCGTTGCATCTCCATGCGAGTCACTGAATGCAGCGTTATTCATAAAAAAGGATACTGTATTGGTTGCGATGCTTTGCGTTTTCCTTCATCCTCTGTAATTGCTGTTGGTGGCACTTCAGACTCCATGGGTTGTGTTTGATCTGTGACACCACGTTGCCTTTCTCCAAGCTGAAGTACAGAACCTCAGCCTGCTGCTGCTGGACCTCGTCACGATTATAACTACACAGAGAGAACACACGCAGAAATGTTTTAGCTCCTGAGCTGCATACAGAATATGAAGAAACCGGCCTCATTTCAGCGAGCATCTTCACCTCATGATCTTGTCCTCTTTTCTGCTGTTTCGGGGTCTGTCTTTGCTGTAGTTTTCCTTCTCCTGCAGCAACGGGGACTGCTTCTTGTTGCTCCACTTCAGCATCTTGCTCTTGGGTTCTTGGCAGTCCGCCGAAGGGTCTTTGTTTTCCGAGTCCCCAGATTCGCTATGGAGAGGGTAGGCGATGAGGCACAGGTTTCCCTCCTCGTCTTCTTCGAAACTAACCGACACAACACCTGCAAGAAGAGGAAGAGACGTTTACTAATGACCAACATTCAAATGTTAATTAGACATTCTGGATGGTCTACCCAAATCAAGTTAAAGTTTCACAATTGCCAACAAGAAATGTGACCAACTCTTTAGACTGCTGCCTACTACTGGTCCAAGCACTTTATTCTGACTTAGAAAAACAAAATAGAAAAACATTTTGCCATTTAAAAGTAATTTTAATTATTGCTTTTCTGGTTGTGTTCTGATATTTTTCTTGCCGTTTTCACTTTAATTATATTTGCTTTAGACACTGCGATAGAGGGAAACAGTTTGTTGTTTGTACTCAAGGTTGTAAGATGAAAATCTAATTCAGCCCCATATACGTTACACATTTACACATCTGACCAGTCCAAAAAAAAAAAAAGATCATCTTCGTTAGTGCGGCTGAAAAACAAATAATAATCACAATTATGCATTTTTTTATGTTAGGTGCTTCTTACCAAGGTATTTAAACATTCAAAAGCCGAAATTTGAGTAGAAACTAGCTCAACAAATAACTTATGAAAACATCTCGATGACGAACATTTTGCAACGTGATCCCAATATTCATTTTTTGTGATACAGCCAACAAACATACAGCCAAGTCTGCCCCCACCAGCTCCTAATACAACTCCCTACAAGGCCCTGAGTGCCTGCAGAGATGGGAGGGGAGGCGTCGCACTGAGAATAAACATGGCAGCTGCAGTCACCGACGCATATGAAAAAGAAAGAGGAAGGAAACTTGGGGTAGAAAACGTTTGAAAAGGAAGAGCTAGTGATATAAACAAAAGGGCCAGGGATTTGATTCATCACTATGATTCATGTATTCTGTTTAGTGACTTAAAGTAGCGAGTAGAGAAAGGTCGGCTGATGTCATTTGCTTTGACGTCACCGTCACAATCTTCTTCCTCTTCCTACGAACGGCTCCGCCTCTGAAACTCATCCAGTGGGACTATGCTGTTCAGAGTTGCAACGTAATCATTCTCAGCGATTGTGGGAACTTCTGAGTCACTCCTAATTAATCCAATAGGATGCTTGGAAAGTTGTGATAAGGAGTAATTCAAAGAAGACATGCGTTTGTTTTTTCCTTTGTTTCTTTTTTTTACAGCCCAAGGGCACAAAAATTAGGAGAATGACTGAACTGCAGATTATCGTCAGCTACCGTTTCCTTGTTTGCCTGAAAGTCTGAACCTTGACCCAAAGTAGTAATAAAAGACATTGTTTACTTCTAAAAATGTGTAAAAATTTTAAAAGCATTAGATTTTATACACATTAATTGCAGATGAAATTTTCTGACGATACCTCCTGATAAAAGTGAGGAAATTCTAAACATTAGTTGACGTGGTGTGCTTTCGAAAGGCCCAGAAGACCGTCATCTAAATCACACTCGCGTATCTTTTTATAGCCGCATAACCCAGGGGTCAGATACCACTCATGAGCCCAGGCTCCGTCAAACTTGGCCGAAGGAGACGTCTGCTTTCGCATGCATTTGGTGTCATTGTCTGCGAGTGCGAATGTGAGCCTGTTGGCCTTGGCTGCAACCAGGAAACACTACACTCTTCATTAAAGGCCTGCGTGCGTGCGTGTGTGTGAAAATGTGTATTTGTGTGAAGCTCTCTGAAACTAGAATCTCCTCAAATGACTTATGAGCTCCTCTCTCCACTCCAGGTGATGTGGCCCAGTTATTTTTGATCCAGGCGGTGGGGTCGTCTCTCATCTTGAAACTGTAGAGGTTTTAAAAGACACCCCTGGCTACACATCCTCCTGGTTGTCAGTTCCTACATTCATGTGCCATTTGAAACTCCCCACTGGACTTGACATGTGCCCACCAGCATCTTAAAAATGATTGACATAGCACTTAAAAAACAGGAATCCAATCCACTCTGAATTTGTCCTGTTGTGTACGCAATGTTCTTTAAACCACCGATTACAACCAGACCCAGTACAACACAGAAGAAAACAATGCTGCTAATTAAGGGGACTCCCAAAAAGCACTTCTAAAATATTTAATGTCTGAACTTCTTTAGTATTAAAAATAAGTGTTCAACTTATTTGTAGTCATTTCAGCTCAGCTTACATTTATAATTTTTACCTCTTGAATTAATAAGTCAATTAATTAGTCTGAACTGCAGAGCTGTATACTGAAACTTCAAATAATTTGCTTCCATTTATTAAACATGTACCAATAAAATGGCATTAGATCAGACAAAGCTTGTTTATTTCTTTGATCAGCTGTTATATGGGATCATATAAGAAATGCTGACTACTCCCAACATTTTATATATTTGTAAAAAAGGAACATTTATAAACAACTAAATTAAGCTAAACCCGTTATTGGTGGTTTAGTGGACAAAACAGGAAATGAGACCCCAAACCAGACTCTGCTCAAGGCCGCATATATTTTTGTGCAGGCCCTGATTACAAACCCACATTGAGTACAGTCAAAACAATAGCACTCTTCCTGCTGCACCCTTTGGGTAAACGCTGGTATCTTACCTTTATATTGAGGGGTGAACTTCCTCATCTCTAGAGGCAGGTTTTTGTAGAACTGGTGCTCCCGAGGTATGAGGGGTTTGCATATCGTCTGTTCCCCGAAGCGCAGCACGCAGGAGTGGCCTCCCACCTGGTGCACGAAGGGCTCAAGCATCACCCCCTTCGCCGAATAGGGAGTCCCGTCCGCCTGCATGAGGGCTTCCAAAGCGGGACTCATTCTCAATCCGCATCGGACGGCTGGGCTGTGGAGACCCAAGTCGCAGGGGAGGCTAGCTGCTCGGCCGTTTGTTAGGCTCCCTATCCTCAGGCTTTTTCCAGTCGTCTTCACAGGGGGGCGCTGTTGCTCACCTGCTTGACTGGAACGGCGAAAAACAAAGGGCTGAAGGGGAAGAAGCAAAACCACCGTCGAAATCCGTTTTATCGTCCCTTTCCCTTACTGGAGGAGAGCGCTACCAAGGTCCAACACTAAGCTGTGTGTTTTTACGTTTCATTTACTGTTACTAAGCCAACAGTTTAAGCTACTGAAACGTTTGTTTCTTTTTGTGAACGTACACTGTTGTCGCTCTCCTTGCTTAGCTGTTACCGAAACTGACGACAGAGCTGATCTTGAAGCTAGAAAAGCAGCAGAGGACTCAGCAAGCTCCGCCCCCACATCAGAAACAGCCAATCAGAGAGCAGCGGCTGTCGCTGGGAGGAGAGATGGCAGCGAGGAGAGATCAAGCAGACAAAGAGGAAGGAGAGAAAACAGTGGGGGGATGGGAATACAGGAAAAACAACAAAAATACATTTTTCAATTAATTTAATTATTTTATGCATATGCCAACTTTATCATTAGGTAGCCATTGGGTTTTGTGTTTGTATTCTTAAAGAGGCACTGCAGATGCTAAAATTATTCACACATTTTGTTCAGTGATCAACAGTATATGATTAGTAATGTTAAAAATAAAAGGCTGTCAAATATCAGATGTTGCTTACCTGGTTATCTCTCATAGCCTAACCTCTTTACAAGGCTAAGACTGAGAATTTTTATAACCAGAATCCTTAACATGTTTTATTAAGATTTTTGTAAAGTGAAAGTAAAGTACTTCATAGTTTTAAATAAAAAAAACTAAAAAGTGTAGGAAGGAGGCTGTTAGTCAGACCTCTTTGCTCTGGGTAAGGAGGTTGGGTAAGAATAGAGATCTCCATTGCAACTTTGAGGGAGCTGCAGAGTATAGCCCAGATGGGAGAATCTGGGAAAGTGGCAAGAAAACTATCAAAAGCTTCAAGAAATCCTGCGGAAGAAGATGCTCCAGCAAGATTTAAACAAAATGTAATTTTTTGGTCCCCATGCAATATAATGTGCATGAGGGAAAACTAAGATAACCATGAAAACATAATCTTATCATAAACCATGATGACAGTATCATGCTGGGAGAATCCTTCCTTTTAACAGTGACTGGATAGAGTTGATAAAAGGATCAGATCCTTCTGATGTGACTGAGCTTAATCTGTTCTACAGAGAGGAGATGGGAGACTTGTTAGTTTCCAGATGTGCAAGATGGCAGTGACAACCCAGAACACATACGAACAATAGGAAATGTAGTTCTGAAAAATGTTGACTGATTATGTATGCATGACACACTTTTCAGATTTTTATTTGGGGAAAAAGTTTGTTCTTTTGCTTCTACCTCTAAATTATGAACATTACTTTGTGTAGTTCTGTTGTGTAAAAATATACATCAGATTTTGCATCGTGACAAAATACAAATAAAGATCAAGTGGTTTCAATATTTCACATCTCTGATGCGAACAACAAGCAAGCCTGCATGTCATCAGATAAGTGACTTAGAGTCCGTCACGTGTGGATTTAACGGTGCATTGCCAAAACAGCTCTATCCAAGAGTTTTGTCACTGATACTAACGTTTACTATGCTGATGGAGAGGCAACTCAAGGCCAAGCTCAGACTGAAAATAGGACGGTGTCAAAGGAAAACCACAGCTGGGAAAGCAATAAAATATGTCCTCTCCTGTTTTTGTAGGTCTATGTCTTCACAAGATTATTTTGAGAAGCAACAAAATTATTATTCCAGTCATAATGGTCACTAAAGGCATTTTCCAAAATAGAACCAGCTGACATGCTGTGATCACTTGTTGAAAAACAACGTTTTCTTCTCGCTCTCCTCTCAGCACGGCGTTATCAATATAATAACTACATTTTCAGGCTTTGGACAAGCTTTATGTATATTTAATATTCACACATTACAACTCTACTACTTGTGTATACAATTCTGTGTTTACCTGCATAGAGTTAAATAGCAAGAAGTATCATCTGCTTTTGAGATGATACCATAAAAATATTATTGGTCGTAACAACCTGGTGTTGACAGTACACAAAATCTATACTGTGGCACCGTTCCTGTGTTGATGTGCATCAGATCACGGAGGCACTTTATCCAAACTATGATCTAAACGCTAGCTATTTCTTAAAATATATTCATATATATATATATATATATATATATATATAGACCCTTGGAGCTATATAGCCTACCTCATACCATGAGAGACATTGATATGCATAACATGCCGGCTCAGACGTCGCCCGGCCAAACAAGGTCTGCGTCAGGTGCTGGGGAACCAGAGCACCTTGATGAAAAATGGGCTACTGGAACAAGACAGTAATGGCAAACCAACCGGACATTGTGGTGGTGGATAAAGAACAGAGGAAAGCCGTTGTTGTGGATGTAGCAATACCAAGTGACCACAACATCAGGAAAAAGGAGCATGAGAAACTGGAGAAATACCAGGGCCTCAGAGAGGAACTGGAGAAGGCCTGGAAGGTGAAGACCACAGTGGTGCCTGTGGTCATCGGGGCCCTCGGGGCAGTCACCCCCAAACTGGAGCAGTGGCTCAAACAGATCCCAGGAACAACATCAGACATCTCAGTCCAGAAATGTGCAGTTCTAGGCACAGCCAAGA